TCCATGCCAAGTTTTCAGACAAAAGCTTACTGGCATGAATAGAAAGCCCTTGACTCCCTCGGAGAGACACTGATTTTCTCTCAGTTATTTTATATTTATGATGCAGCCCATAGCCATGAATTAAAATGAACTAGGCTTTGGGGGGCATCAATAGGATGTAAGAGACTGGATAAACTTGTCAGTGTCACCAGCATTTACAAACAGTTTTTATGTCTATGCATTTTGCTAAAGGCTTTATTGGCAGTACTTAATAATTTCTTGGTATCCTACATTTCCTTCAAAGAAAGCATCAGTTTCATATCAGTTTATCTGTCAGACAGGAATGGAAATTTTCATTTCAGAAAGATATTTAAAAGTCACTTTTGGATAATGCAGTCTCGTAGCAAAACAGAGTTTTTGAAAAAAGCATGACAATTGTTTAAAATTGGTTGAAATCTATAAATATATATATATATATATATATATATATATCCCAGGGGCCAGAACCAAAGATATGGCTCCTATCCTCCTTGTCAACATATCTTATTCAACAATAACATTTGACCATTTCACAATCAACGTAAGACAATGGGAGTTCATTGCTCCTGACTTTATAAATACTCACCAATTCTATGCAGGAACTGAAAGTACCTAGTTCTTCTATACAGCCTGATTGAGTTTTTAATTAGGCAAACTCTAATAAACATTTAATAAAAGAAAGGCTGAATGCTCTGCAGTATGATGCTTGGAAGTATTAAGGAACTTGTAGACTTCCCTTGACATGTACCTTATAGGATCAAGTGGCTTTGGGTGTGTGGAGTTTTTGGTCTGGAATTTTAACGTATTTAGTTCTGCGTGGGGTTGCACTGCATTATGCAATGCATTATGCATTGTGTGCATTATGCACACAATGCATAATGTAGGAGGTTCTCCTGGACTTACAACTCTTGCTCGAAGAGTCATGGCTAAGAGAGCCTTTGCACAATTTAATGGTTGTATGTTAGTTATACCCTTATCTGGATTGGAGGTCCTTATGCTCAGTCACTCAAGTGGTCATGTCACAGTTGTACTGTTGCAATGTGCTGTACATGGGCTGACCCTTAAAGAGTATCTGGAAGCTACAGCTGGTGCAGAATGCAGCTGGGCTGATTGTTCTTGGGACTCCTAGGATGATCCATGCTACAGGTTACATGCGCTGCATTAGTTGTCAGGTTGCTTCCAGATCCAATTCAAAATGTTGGTTATCACTTTTAAAAACCTTCATGGCAGGAGGAAAGAGTATCTGAGAAACCATCTTACCTGATGGGGCTCACCTGCCTCACCATACTGATAGAAGTGGCATGCTATGGACTCCATCAGTCAAGGAATTCCAGCTGGTGGGGTCCAGGCAAAGAGCATTTTCTGCCATGGCTTCTGCCCTCTGGAACATCATGCCCCCTTTGCACTCACTATTTTGATCTTCTGAAAGGGCATGAAGACATGGTTCTACCAACTGGCCAGGCCTCAAATGGGGGCATGTCATTCTGGAGGTGGTTAATCAATTAGATAAAAATCCCACATCCTTCCCATGTGCACCCTGCTCCCTTCCTCTCCATGTCTCCATTTTAATTCAAATGTAATGTCTCTATTGTTTTAATGTTTTATTGATGTTTTTGTCTATTGTAAGCCACCTTGCCTTCAATCAAATGCTTGCCTTTACATTAACTTTAAGGGAAATAAGATGACTGGAAACCCTTTATGAACTTTTTCCTGAAATAAAAGAAAAATGAACTTGTGACTTATGGTTTGTGATTTGAAGTTAAAAAAAGGATAGCTCATTGAAAGAAGAAATAATGCTGTAACTTTAGAGAGAGAAGACAATATATAAAGGTATTTATAACTACTGTCAAGAAGATTGGAAGATGCTTCTTTCTTTTTTTCTTTTTATTTACTTTTCTTTCTCTTTATTGCTTTATTTCTTTCTTCCATTTTATATTTCTTTTTCTCTTTTCTCTTTACACTATTTGTCTTTATTATCATTATTTTATTTATGCTTTACTTTGTTAAAAATTGATTCAATAAAATTATTTTAAAAAATGAAATAAGAAGAGAAGATTTTATTCTTCCTCTTCAATCCTTTTACTATTATACTAGCATTCATTGCAGTATGTGAGGAAAAAAATCTTAAGGTCTATCAGAACACTGAACACATGTCACATTTCAGTCTCATCTACTGCAAGGATTGGAGATTGTAAGCAAGATTTCAAGTCAGGATGTTGTGGACGCCTGCAGAAATTGTTAAGAAAAAGCATATCACTCCAGTATTAGAAGCAAAGGTGCAAATCATATGGCTCACAATAAGCCACTTAAGTCTTAGCACAATATGTAAATCAAGTCAGAACCCAGCTCCAATCCTTGATGAAATCTGATCAAACCTATGAAAGTTCATAGCAATAGACAAGAGACATTGTTTTCCAATATGTGGAATATTAGCCGTGCCTATTTCTAACATAAACTGGAGCAATATTAACCCTATTTGTATCTTAGTCCATTGCATCTCAGCAGGAGCTTTCTGGACCAACATAATGAAACATATTTGCAGAGTGAAATGTACATGGTAGATTCACTGTTAGTGTCAAAGCAGTCCTGAGCATCAAAATCTGCAGCTAGAAATGCAGGTAATGGTGCAAACTGCTGCTCAAAGGAGACAGAAAGGATTAATCATAACCATCCAGTCTTGTTCTCCTTCTGTGAAATGCCAAACCATGGCAACAGCTGTCAATCAATGAAGCAAAATACATTAGCAGATTGATTGGGTTTGATACAGTGGTAGCCATCTAGACTTCAGAGTACTCTTTAAAACAATTTTTATTGTGCGATGCTGGAGAAAGCCAACAAATAATAAACCTGTCAGAGTGCTCACCAAGTGCTCGTAAATATAAAAGCAGCCTTACAGCTGCAAGAGGAAATGGATTCCTGATGCCAGCACCAAAAAAGGCAATTCTGCATCTGATATCCATTCCACTATAACTTTTGTTTTCTTTGTGTAATTTGTTCTCAAAGAACAAATTACAAACTTGCATGGATGAGTTTACAAGGTAAACTTAAATCTTAATAATTTAAAAACAAGGCAAACTTCTAACAATTGATTATTAGAAGCTCAGATTATAACTTTCAGACTATTCCTGCACCTGACAGGCTCATCTATGAAGGAAGTTTCCTAGAACTAAGAAAACTAAGCTTGGGCGACTTCTGCTAGCAAGAGTAGGAAAGATGGGGATTGGTTAGCTGATTGGGATTTTGTTTCTGTTTTTAATTATATAACATTATATTAACAGGAAAGAAATAACTAACCAAGCTATGTTACTAAGATCCTCTGCTACTTTTCTGTGGAATGAAACTGATCCCTCTGCCTACTTTTGGAATTAACTGTTTGGGGATCTTTATTGGGCCTGAGTGGCCCTTATTTTCTGCCACTAAAGAAGCATTTTACCACCAGAGATGCCTACAGTCCATTCTAATTTATATGGAAGGCTTTTAGGGAGTTCGTGATTGCTCTGTTACTTGCCATTTGTCAAGAAATAAAAACTAAAATGGTTGCTAGTTCAACATCAAGAAAAAGACAAATGAATCACACAGAAATTGTTCTCTTTCATATTTCCTTCCAACCTAAAGCATAGCATTTGTTCTCTTATTGGTGATTAAACTAAAGATTTACTGATCAAAGAAGTCAAGTCAAGTAGAAGACTTCCTTCTAGTTTATTGCAGTATGAACTTCCATAGAATCATAAGATCCACACACACACACACAAAACACCTTGAAATTTAAATGTAAGTTGAAATTGAGTACAGTATTAGGGTCAGCAAACTTTCAGTTTGTTTAAAAATAAAGACCTCTCCAAGATCAAGTTCATTCTGGAGTCATTGCACAGATACAGCCATGTAATTTTCATGACAGTAACACTGAGACTTCTTAACATTTCTTCAAGAGTTAGACTACTAGTTCAATTTTCCCACAACTCTGTAATTTTGTTGGACTAACTGTCCCAAAGTTACCCAATGACCTTCTAAACTAAAGGTGGACTTGATCCAGGATTTATTTAGTTCTAGTCTAGAATTTTAAATACTAAACCATTGCCTTCTTCCAGGATATTTTTTCCAATTTACCTGTTTAGACTAAAGCCCCGGGCTTTTCTAATGGTGTCTCATCCAAATATTACTTTACTTTACTTTTATTTGATTTATATACCGCCCTACTCCCAAAGGACTCAGGGCGGTGAACAGCCAACAATAAAATACATACATACAAAATTTAAAAAGCAGAAATAAAATCAAATTAAATAGTTTGGCCCAAACAGATTAAAACCCCAATCAATTTAAAACAAATTAAACTTTGAATATTAAAAATATTAAAAATATTAAAAATTATTTAAAAAGAGGGAGAAAATTAGGCCAGGCCCGCCTGGTGAAATAAAAAGGTGGAAGGTGCGCAGATCCAGGATCCTCCGTATCTCCGGGGGGAGCCCATTCCAGATAGTAGGTGCCCCCACAGAGAAGGCTATCCCCTGGGGGCCGCCAGTCGACATTGTTTGGCCGACAGCACCCAGAGGTGAGATTCCAAAAGAAAAGCTGGAAGGCAGTTTTGACACTGTTAGAGTGTCTGGCATTTGCTCACAACAGGTAGCCAATAACTCCAGCAATTTCCTAAACAAGGTACTTTTTCTCCCATGTGATGTCCTCTTTCCAACCCCTTGCTCTGCAATACACCCTGGAGATATCTACCATGATGATACAGTAAGCTCAAGTGAGAATTCTCAGTTGTGTTTAAGGCCTGCTTAGAATGTCTAGCAAACTGAAGAGATCACCAAGCAGTAAAGCTGTTTCTTCCTTTTAACTGCCAGTGGGGTGTGAACTGATCGGGTGGGAGCTTGGCTGTGTTCTGATTGGGTGGAGGTGTGTTCTGATTGAATGGGGGGGTTGGCTGTGCTCTGATTGGATGGGTGTGTGTTCTGTTTAGGTGGGGGCTTGGTTGTGCTCAGGTTAGTCTGAGTAGCTGGGGGATTTGAGCTGGTGAGCTGTGTTGCTGTTGTTTGGCTTCGTTTTTCGTGGCCGTGCTACCTCTTCATGGTGGGTGTCAGTCTGCTTCATGTATGGATTGGAGGGGTTTAAAGGGACTAATGATGCAGCTGTGGTCTGGCTTCTGGTCCGCCGTTGTGCCTCATCCTCAGTGTGGATTTGAGTCTGCTTTCTGCATGGATGTGTGGTCTTACATCCTGTGTGGCTCTCGTGAGTGTGGGTCTGGTGTCATTCTTTGTGTTAGGGACTCGTTTGTCAATAAGGGCGGGTTTCCAAATGGCTGGTAGGCGGGAGGTATCATCTCGTTTATTCATGCTGTGTGGACGTTTTTCTATCTCGATGGCTTCTCTGATTATTCTGTTGTTAAAGTGTTCGTTTTGGCGATAGTTCTGGTCTTTTTAAAGTCAATATCATGTCCTGTGGCTTTGAGGTGTTGGACCAGGGAAGAAGTTGGTTCCTCTTTTTTGACTGAGTTCTTGTGTTCTTCAATGTGTGCACTTATTCTTCTGTTGGTTTGTCCGATGTATGTGGTGGGGCAGGCGGTGCATGGGATTTCATATACTCCTTGATTTTCTAACTCAATTTTGTCTTTGGAGTTTCTTAGGATGGTGGATATTTTTCGGTTTGTGCAGAATGCTGTCTTGATGTTGTGTTTGTGGAGGATCTTGCTGATTCTATCTGTGGTGCCTTTTATGTATGGGAGGAGGGCTTTGCCGTTTTCTTGTTCTCTGTCTTGGATTTTAGTGGGGGTTTCTTTTTGGATTAGGTTGGTAATCTTATTTCTTTGGAATCCATTGGATGTTAATACGTTAGTGAGAGTGTGTAGTTCGGTTTTTAGGTGTTGTTCGTCAGCTAAGCGTTTTGTTCTGGAGATGAGTGTCTTGGCTACGGAGTTGATCTGTGCTGGGTGGTGGTGTGAGAGTGCATGCAGATAGCGGTTTGTGTGTGTTTTCTTCTGGTAGATGGTGTGTCCTAGGGAGCCATTAGATTTCCTGTAGACTAAGATATCCAGGAAGGGAAGTTGGTTGTTCTCTTCTGTTTGTGATCACAAACTCAAACACAAAACAACTCTGGCTCAGATACGTAGATGACACCTTCATAATCTGGCCACATGGGAAAGAAAAACTGGACAACTTCCTTACACATCTCAACAGCCTACACCCCAAAAATACAGTTTACCATGGAAACAGAAGAGAACAACCAACTTCCCTTCCTGGATGTCATCCAATGGATTCCAAAGAAATAGCCAAGTTTTACCTACGTAAGCTAAGATGTTCTACAGCCCTGGTTCTGTGAAATCTCATTCACAAGTTTCTGGGCTTTTTGTTTCTTGCTGACAAACAAGTTGCTGTTGTGGCTCACTGATGACACCTTATGAGGCAGAAATAGCTATCTGAGTCTCCCAAAGAGCAGCACAGAGTTGCTGTTTGTCAGCAAGAAACAAAAAGCCCAGAAACTTGTGAATGAGATTTCACAGAACCAGGGCTGTAGAACATCTTAGCTTATGTAGGTAAAACCTGGCTAGAAAGAATATGCACATAAAAGCCTACGAAATATATAATATATATAATATATATATCTTTTTCTTTTTCGTAGGCTTTTATGTGCATATTCTTTCTAGCCAGGTTTTACCTACGTAAACTAAGTTGTTTTTCAGCTCTGGTTGTGTGAAATCTCATTCACAAGCTTCAGGGCTTTTTTTCTCTGTTGACAAACTGCAACTCTGTGTTGTTCTCTAGCTATCTGAGTCTCCCAAGAGCAGCACAGAGTTGCTGTTTGTCATATTGTGATGAGATTTCAGGTATAGTTTACGTAGGTATAGGTATATAGTATATATAGTATAGGTATAGGTATAGGTATAGTATAGTATAGGTATAGGTATATATATAATATTTCTATACAGTTTCTCCAGGACTCAAGTGTACAGTCAAGTAACTATAGATACACAAACATCATAAAATTGCTAATTAAAATTATTATTATAACATAGTTTGGCCCAATTAAATAGAACCTAAAATTAGATAACATTTTAAAAACATTCACATGTTCATGTGTTTAGCCCCGCTTGTTGGAACATCAGGGTTTTGAGGGCACAGCGGAAATCATGGAGATCAGGGATATTTCATATCTCAGGGGGCAGTTCATTCCAAAGGGTTGGAGCCCTCACAGAGAAGGCCCTCCCCCTGGGAGTCGCCAGTCAGCATAATTTGACTGACAGTACCCTGAGTACTGTCCCCTCCCCTGTGAGAACGAACTGGTCGGTGGGAGGCTATTGGTGGCAAAAGACGGTCTCGTAGGTACCCAGGTCCTAAGCCATGGAGCGCTTTAAAGGTGATAACTAACACCTTGAATCACACCCGGAAGACCACTGGGAGCCAGTGCAGCTCGCAAAGAAGAAGTGTTACATGGGCGCAATGAGCTGTGCCCATAATCACCTGCGCAGCTACATTCTGGACCAGTTGGAGCCTCCGAGTGCTTTTCAAGGGAAGCCCCATGTAGAGAGCATTACAGTAGTCCATATGGGAGGTAACTAGGGCATGAGTGACCGTGCACAAGGCGTCCCGATCCAGAAAGGGACGCAACTGGCGGATCAGGTAAATCTGATAAAAGGCACCCCTGGCCACGGCCATCAAATGATCTTCTAAATAGCTGTGAATCGCTGTGAATCGGCCCGGAGTGAGGATGAAGCGTGAACCGCGGAAGCCGGTAGCCCTGGATAAGTCTCCGAGAAACCCCGCGTGTGGCCCTTTTCTGCCTGAGCCAGCGAGCGGCGCGCGGGGAGAATGACTGACTGGGAGACAGCCCCTGCTGTGGCAGAGACCCCTGATATCAAGCTGTTTGGAAAGTGGAGCACAGATGATGTCCAAATCAGCGATATCTCCCTGCAGGATTACATTGCTGTGAAGGAGAAATATGCTAAGTATTTGCCCCACAGTGCTGGGCGTTATGCTGCTAAGCGCTTCCGTAAGGCCCAGTGCCCAATTGTGGAGCGCCTCACCAACTCCATGATGATGCATGGGCGCAACAATGGCAAGAAGCTCATGACTGTGCGCATCATTAAGCATGCTTTTGAGATCATCCATCTGCTCACAGGAGAGAATCCCCTCCAAGTCCTGGTGAATGCCATCATCAACAGTGGCCCTCGTGAAGACTCTACCCGTATTGGTCGTGCTGGCACAGTGAGGAGGCAGGCTGTTGATGTGTCACCACTGCGTCGTGTCAATCAGGCTATTTGGTTACTTTGCACCGGGGCACGTGAAGCTGCCTTCCGAAACATAAAGACCATAGCTGAGTGCCTAGCAGATGAGTTGATAAATGCAGCAAAGGGTTCCTCCAACTCCTATGCCATCAAGAAGAAGGATGAGCTGGAGCGTGTGGCCAAGTCCAACCGTTTAAAAAGAGATGTACCTGAAACAAAAGCCTTTCATACTGTTAAAAAAAAAAAAAAAAAAGATAGCTGTGAATCCAGGAGGACACCCAAGTTGCGGGCCCTCTCTGTGGGGAGCAAGATCTCATTCCCAATTGTCAGTGATGGTACCAGCTAACTATACCGGGACACCAGAAGCCACAGCCACTCGGTCTTGGAGGGGTTGAGTCTGAGCTTGTTTCTCCCCATCCAGATCCGCACGGCCTCCAGGCAACAGGACATCACAGCAAGGGCATCATTGGGGTGGTCTGGGGTGGAGATGTATAGCTGTGTGTCATCAGCATACTGATGAACACTCACCCCGAAACCACGGATGATCTCGCCTAGCGGTTTTACATAAATGTTGAACAGAAGGGGTGAGAGGACTGACCCTTGAGGCACCCCACAAATAAGGTGCCTCGAGGTCGACCTCTGCCCCCCTGCCAACACAAACTGCGAACGGTCAGAGAGGAAGGAGGAGAACCACCGAAGCACAGTGCCCCCTATTCCTAACCCCTCCAGCCGGTGCAGTAAGATACCATGGTTGATGGTATCAAAAGCCGCTGAGAGACCTAATAGGACCAGGATAGAGGGGCAATCTCTACCCCGAGCCCTCCAGAGATCATCCACCAACGCGACCAATGCCATTTCTGTGCTGTATCGTGACCTGAAGCCCGACTGGAACAGAGCCAGATAGACAATTTCATCCAGGTATCGGGATAGTTGTCGCGCCACCACACTCTCAACAACCTTCGCAACAAAGCGAAGATTGGAGACTGGACGATAATTTGATAATATAGTCGGGTCCAGGGAAGGCTTCTTGAGGAAGGGCTTCACAACCACCTCTTTGAAGGCAGTGGGAAAGACACCCTCACTCAGACAAGCATTTATAATTCCCTGGAGCCAGCCTCGTGTAACCTCTCGGGAGGCCAGTACCAACCAGGAGGGACACAGGTCCAATAAACATGTGGCAGCATTAAGCTTGCCCAGAATCCTGTCCACGTCCTCAGGAGCCACAGAGTCAAACTCTTCCCAGATAACGCTCTCAAGACCTGACCCCGTCTCCTGCCCTGGATCTACCCAATCAGAGTCTAGGCCTTCCCGAATCTGAGTGACTTTATTATGCAGGAATTGTACAAAATCCTCAGCTCGACCCTGTAAGGGATCTTCCCGTACCCCGACCTGAAGTAGGGAGCGGGTCACCCTGAACAGCGCGGCTGGGCGGTTCTCTGCAGATGCAATAAGAGCAGAGAAGTAGCTAGACTTCGCTGCTCTTATCGCCACTAGGTAGGTCTTAATATAAGATCTCACCTGTGTTCGGTCAGATTCAGATCAGCTTGTCCTCCAATCGCTCTCCAGGTGTCTTTTCCGACGCTTCATCTCTCTCAGCTCCTCGGAAAACCAAGGAGCTAGACGCAATCGGCATCGGGTCAGAGGCCGCAAAGGCACGATGCGGTCCAAGGCCCCAGTAGCCACCCTGTCCCAGGTGACCACCAGGTCTTCAGTGGAGTCGTGAGCCAGAGTCTCAGGAAATGGCCCAAGCTCCGTCAGGAACCTTTCGGGGTCCATCAGGTGCCTGGGACGGAAC